GGATTGTCAAGCCTAGACTTAATCCAACTTTACTGTTGGCCCATATAGAGCCCAAATCAGTTAAGCAAGCGCTTTCTTCTCCACCTTGGCTTGCAGCCATGCAATCTGAATACAATGCCTTGATATCTAACAAAACTTGGTCTCTAGTCACTCTTCCTCCAGGCAAACAGGTTATTGGCTGCAAGTGGGTATTCAGAGTAAAGGAAAATCCTGATGGTTCTGTGAATAAGTTCAAAGCCAGGCTGGTGGCAAAAGGGTTTCATCAGAGGTTTGGATTTGACTTTGGAGAAACATTTTCTCCAGTAGTCAAACCTGTCACAATCAGAATATTGCTTACACTTGTTGTCTCTCACCAATGGTCTATACAGCAACTTGATATAAATAATGCCTTTCTCAATGGGGATCTTGAGGAAGAGGTCTACATGTCACAACCTCCTGGTTTTCAGGCCAAAGATACCTCCCTTGTCTGTAGACTACATAAATCTTTATATGGCCTCAAACAAGCTCCAAGGGCTTGGTTTCACAAGCTCACTTCAGTCTTATACAATGTTGGTTTCAAACAGAGCAAGAGTGATCCTTCTCTTCTTCTATACCTCAAACCTGGGATCCAAATTTACATTCTCATCTATGTTGATGACATTCTTGTCATTGGCAACAATTCCACAGTTATCCAACAAATCATTCAAACCCTTCACTGTTCCTTTTCTCTAAAACATCTGGGAGATATTGATTTCTTTTTAGGAATCCAAGTTAAAAAGCTCCCTCATGGTTGCCTGCACCTCTCACAAGCCAAATACATCAGAGATCTTCTTCACAAAGTTGGAATGACAGATTCTAAGGGTGTGAAAACACCTATGGTGAGTTCCTGTAAGCTCACCAATGAAGGAAGTGACCCTCTTCCTGATCCCTCTCATTACAGATCTGCTGTTGGAATTCTGCAGTATGCTACTCTAACCAGACCTGAACTTAGCTATGCTGTAAATAAGGTGTGTCAGTTTATGAGTAATCCTCTACAAGACCACTGGAAAGCTGTGAAACATATACTGAGATATTTATCTGGCACTATTACTCATGGACTGATTATCAAACCTCTTCCCTTGACAAAAATACCTCTACCAATCTCAGCTTTCTGTGATGCTGACTGGGCATCAGATCCTACAGACAGAAAATCTACATCTGGGTCATGCATTTTCCTAGGCTCTAATATTATCTCCTGGTGGTCTAGGAAACAACCGAGGGTAGCAAGATCTTCAGCTGAAGCTGAATACAGAAGCTTAGCAGACACTACATCAGAACTTTTATGGGTTTAATTTTTACTCAAAGAACTTCAAGCCCCTTTTAAAACTCCAAGAATTTACTGTGACAATCTCAGCACTGTACAGCTAGCTCACAATCCTGTCCTACATTCTCGCATAAAACATATGGAAATTGATCTTTTCTTTGTCAGAGAGAAAGTTCATCTCAAACAGCTTGAAGTTTTCCACATTCCAGCCTCCCAACAAATTGCAGATGTGTTGACTAAGCCTCTATCTGCTTCCACCTTTCTTGAGTTCAAAGACAAACTGAGTGTGATTGATTTTCCAGTTCAATCACCCTCAATTTGAGGGGGGAATGTTAGGAATAGTATATAAAAGCTACACGTACATTGCTTTGTAATTAGTGTTAGTTGGGCTTCTGTTATATTAGCTACAGTTAGTTACAACCATAGCTTCTATAAATACTCTGTACACTTTCTATTTCTGTATGAGATGATTTCACTTCTTTCTTCTACCTTGCTCTATTTCTAATAGAACGGAGTGGCGGAAAGGATGAACAGAACTTTGAATGAGAGGGCCAGAAGTATGAGACTTAATGCTGGGCTTCCAAAGACGTTCTGGGCTGATGCAGTGAACACTGCCGCTTATCTTATCAACCGGGGGCCATCAGTACCATTGGGTTTCAACATACCAGAGGAAAAGTGGAAATGAGAAGCGGTAAAGTATGGGCATTTAAAGGTATTTGGATGCAGCGCTTATGATCTTATTAAAAATGGTGATAAGTTAGATGCTAAAGCCAAGAAATACACTTTCATTGGATACGGGGGATACAACATGGGTTATCGACTTTGGGACTTTGAAAGTAGAAAGGTAATCAGAAGTAAACATGCTACATTCAACGAGGCTGAACTTTATAAAGACAGAAACACAGAAAACTCAAAGATTCAGAAAGAGCAGGTTGAGTTTGAAAATGATGTCATCAGAAACAGAGAGTCCGAAGATACTCAAGACAGTGGGAGCATGGAGAATGATTCCAGTATTGACGAGTCTGAGGATGATCATGAAGACTGTTGATAATGAAAATTCAGAGGATGAAGGAGCACCTTCACCTGTGCAGCCGCAGCCAGTTGAAACACAGTGGGTCAGAAGATCCACTAGAGTCACTAAACCTCCAGAAAGATTCAGTCCTTCGGTCAATTATCTCCTTTTGACTGAAAATGGAGAACCAGAAAGTTACTTCGAAGCAGTAAAGCAGAATGATTCGTTTCAGTGGGAGCAGGCTATGAAAGAAGAAATGGATGCCTTACACAAGAACAAGACATGGGTTCTTACTAAGCTTCCGCCAGGTAAGAAGGCACTTCAAAATAAATGGGTATTCAGAATCAAAGATAACATGATGGGTCAAAACGGTACAAAGCCCGTTTAGTGGTCAAAGGTTTTCAGCAGAAAAAGGGAGTGGATTATAATGAGATTTTTTCTCCGGTGGTTAGAATGACCACCATCAGATTGGTTCTAAGTATTGTAGCTGCAGAGGGCTTACATCTAGATCCGCTAGATGTTAAAACAGCATTTCTACATGGCGATCTTGATAAGAATATCTACATGGCACAGCCTAAAGGATTTCAGGTTGTTGATAAAGAAAATCTGGTCTGCAAACTATGAGGGACAGCTGAGTATGCGCTTGAGATGATGAAGGAAGCTGAAAGAACTGGCTGGTGTAGAGCAGCTTTAGCGTCGACTGAGGAAAGCGAGGAGAGTGAAGAGCGAGAATGGCGCGAACCGCGCGATGATAGCTGTAGTGTTTTCCCTCTTGTGCAAGTTTTACATGGGTTTTACATAGTTTTACATGTAGTTTTACGTAGGTTTAACTTTCTTTACCCTAATGTTTTCATGGGCTGAGTGCTATTAAAGATATGGGCTAATTGTTTTTCAAAGTTTTAAACCCAAAAAAGGCTGTTAGCCTTTTCCTTCTCAGGCGTCCCAGGCGTGCGCATCATAGCGCTTCAGTGCTTTTTGCGCTTTCTGCGCATAGGCTGCGCCTTACCCTGGTATGCGCGCTTCTCTTATTCTCAGGTGTTGTGCGCTGCGCCTTGTGCGCTTAAGCGCTGGGGCGAGTGCTTTTGACTACCTTGGTCATAGTTATAAGCGTTTCCTAGTCTGAATGCTTGGAGTGTGATGCTTGATTTAGCACTAGTATCACCTCCCTCTAGGGTTTATTAGGAAGGAAATATAATTTGGGGAAAAATAAAATAGTTTTAAACTCAACAAGTCAATTGTAGATGCTTTAAAATTATCTGTATTTGTATATTTATATCATGTATAAAAACAAAAGCTAAACTCAACAAGTCAATTGTAGATGCTTTAAAATTCTCTTTATTTGTATATTTATATCATGTATAAAAACAAAAGCATCCATGCCTTCCTTATTTCCTGAAGAATTTGGGATTGCCTAACATGAATCGACATATGATATCGGAGTTAAAAACAATGAATTGAGAAAAAGGAAGATAAACAAAATCATATCAATCCTCCACACATATATGATGTATATCATATTATATGATATACATAATTATATCATATAAACGCTAGAAAGTCTAAACATGTGTACTAAAAAGGTCGTAGTACAAGATGATGGAACCCATTCACGGAATGAAACTGTTGGTTGATATAAAAGTTAGCCCAAAACCTAATGAATTATTTTTAGATATTTATTTATCGCTGTCATTTCAAAGCTAAGAAGTCTAAATATAGGTTTGATAGTATTAATCTTTAGAGAGAAGTGAGAGCTAGAGAGAGAGTGATCGATTAATATTTCTCAACCCCCTACAACTACCCTTATGGGAGTATTTATAGGGAAAATATGGGTTTGGGCTCCCAGGTCTTGGGCCTGGGAGGCCCGGTACAAAATAAGGCCTCTAATGGGCTGAATACATGATTTATTTGATCAAGTATAAAATCTATTTTGTCGGAGTCCTTTTGGCTGACAGAGGGGATAAAAACTAAATTGTAAAAGAAATCATTTTCTGTTTTCCATTGCATTTTCCAGTCCTTGCCTCTCGTTTAAAACAACCACCCCGCCCCTTCCCACAAAGTGAGTCATGTTTTTGAAGTTGTTTTTGTCTCGAAAAAGGTGTCTCCGCCAAATGGAACAAGTTTGTCATGTGGTTACATTACTTTAACAAAGTGCAATTTTGTTCACCCTCACCAAAGAGGGTGATGTTCACCCCCACCCTAATTGCTTGCCATGTGGCTTCCTATACCCTTTTTTTCTTTAAATCAATTTTCTTTTTTATTTATTGTTCAAATTTTATAGAAAAATATATCAGATTTAATAACTTTTTAAGATCTTTCCAATGACATCAATATTGTATATAAAAAAGTTGGACAAAAAAATCGCATTTTTATAAATATTCATTTCTAAGTGGATTTTTTTTTTAATTTTTTATATGCAATATTGGTACCATATGAAAGATCTTTATAAAATAAAAATTTTGATATATTTTTTTAAAAAATTAGATTAAAAATTAAAAAGTTAAAACAATTGCCAAATAATTTAGAATTGCCTTGCCACATGGCAAGCAATTAGGGTGGGGGGTGAACATCACCCTCTTTGGTGAGGGTGAACAAAATTGCACTCACTTTAACAGGCATACCTTTCCCAAACAAAAGAATTGTACCTTGACCAAATAGGATTTTTTTGGGATGGAGGTAGTAGTAGTTTTATGTGTTGTTGACATGCAGGTAAATTTGTACCCAACAGAAAGAGTGTTTACAGCAATTGGGACTGGAGGGGATAATTTTGTGCAGGCTATGGTAGTTGCAGTAGAATCAGTTATTCAGGGATCTATCCTTGAGGTAGTAACATACTTATGCTTATACTCGGTATATGTTTGTGTGTGATCACAAGTTCTCTAAAATTGACTGTATTGTTGGACCAAAACATTATATTTTACCTTTTGCACAATTTCAATTATCTTCATACTTAGAATTCTGTGAGCTAAAGTTCTCTTTTAAAAATTATGAGTTATGACTAGTGTTTCTTTTGTGCTAATGACTCGAGAGGTGTACTCGGGGTACACACTTGTGTACACACTCTTACACACTCGTGTTTGTGTAGGCGTCTTTTTTGTCACGTAGTACTTCGAGTCATGAAAAAAACGCCTACACAGACACGAGTGTGTAAGAATGTGTACACAAAGTGTGTACCTTTAGATTTTTTCATGACTCGAAGTACTACGTGACTATTTACTACTCCCTCCGTCCCGTTAAGGTTTGCCAACTTTTCTTATTTGGCCATCCCAAAAAGCTTTGTTTCCTTTTAAAGTAACAAATTTGTGGTTCATATTATTTCTCTCGTCTACACAAATTTCAACCCCACAATTTTTACTTTATTATTTGACATGCAAGTAAATATTGGCCAAAATTATGGGACGGGGGGAGTATGTCATAGGAAAAGTGGAAAATGTAGCATATTAAAAAGCCTGTTTGTTAGGGTTGATTTATGCATGATCAGCCTTATTAGAAAGTTTTCTCCCCGAAATGCCAACTTGCTAAACTTCACTGGTTGAATCGGTTGACAATGGAAAAAAGCAGTGGCTGCAGTGCAAGAGTTACTTTGTATTGCTTAAAACTGTACTTCTAGTTTATCTTTAAGATAATTAGTTTCTTTAAATTACATAACCATATAGAGTCAATTACCGGAATAGGACTAAATCACAGTTAAAGTGCAATAATAGTAGGAGTACAAGTTTTAAATTCCCAAGTAGGAGTTCTTATACCTATTCTACCCCTCACTTATATTTTCATAAAAAACCCCTAGCTTTTTTGTAATACAAAAACACGATTTCCAGTGGGTTTGGATACATGTAATTTACTAAATTATGGGAGGGTATAATGGAATAGGGGCTCCTATCATAGAAAATAAAAACATTATAGTTCCATTTAGCCAAGATGATCATTTTGCTTTACTCCCATTTTGGGCAATTTCTTAAAGATGTAATCCATCTGTCCACTTTCCTTTTTGACAATTACAAATGCAACAAATGACATAAATACTTTTACATTTTCTTCTTCTCTTTCTAGTTGTGCGTACTTTTTCAACTTTTCTCCCCTCTCACTTATTCTATAATATTCACATTGTTAAGTATCTAGCGGAAACTAGCAAGAATTCAGATAGAAAGTAGGAACGAAGATGAACCAGTGAATAGGGAGTTTATTTGATCAATAGAAAAGAGAGAAAATATCTTGACAGTTATAGAGATTTCATCTCTCCAGTCCCAGCCAACTACCAAATAACAGCCTGCCTTATTCCTCAGCTACTTATTATTCCCATTCCTTCTGGAATACACTTTGTCATAATAGCTAATACTATTATTATTATTAGTAAGAGGCTGACTTCTCGTGGCTCTAACATCACTCCCTCCGGAACTACCACCTTGTCCTCTGATAGGGCCCTGGGCTGTAGAGAATAATAATAGTAGTAATAGATTGATATTAAATAAGTGTGGTATTGTGTAAATAAGGATTCTGGGCCATGTCATAGAATATGGGCTGGCCCGTTAGGATATAATTACTATAAGAGTGGGAAGGAAGGAAGAAGGAAGTTAGGCAGAAATTGGAATTAGGCTTGTGACTTGGGAGAGGGGACTGCTTGAAGTGTCTCGTTCTGATTTCTTCTCTTTCTTTCTGTTCTTTCTTGTTCAGTTGTAATCCACCAGACTTTCATCTTCAATAAATCGTAAATTTCTGTTGCTTTTGTTGAGGTATCTAACATTGGTATCCGAGAAGTTGTCCCTGGGAAGCTTCGATCTAAGTCACGCAATAAAAAATGGAGCAGTGCAGGGAACATCGAAGGTCAGAACAGAAAGTGGTTGCCTCTGGTTTGCGCGCGAACACCGAGAAGCATGTGTCTACCCAAGGCGGAAAGGAACTGCGCAGGGAGCATGGAAGATCCGATCAGGATGCTTCGCACAGAAAAGGGGAGAAGGTAGCGGAAATGGTTGAGCGTGGAAAAGTGGAGAAGCTGGCGGAAAAGGTTGAAAGTGATTGGGCGAAGGAGATGCGCCACATGTTTGGCAAAATTCGTCACAGACTCAAGCGACACAGAGACAGAGCGAGGAGTCCTCCTAGACACCGTCAGAATTCGTCACTAAGTGCGCAGACGGTGTCGCAGGAAGAAGCTTCCAGATCGCAATCGACAACTTCGCCATCTCGAACAGTTTCTCCCAGTTCGAAGTCGCAAACGGCTTCTCCTTGTTCGCAGGTCTTTTCATCCGTAACGCTAGCAGATTCTGTCCGCTCTCAGGTTTCCTCGTTCGCAGATTCATCCACTATCAGCTCGCGTCAAATTGTGACGATATCAGGAGACTCCAAATCGCTGAGATATCCCTCTACGAACCCTAATACGACTCTAGACAGAGGAGACACCATCAGTTCACCGTTGCTATCCGTGTCGCAAGAGTCAGGCAATCCACAGAAAACGCTCTTTGAAGGTAAGTTCATCTACGGTGATGAGGGACAAGAAAAAAATCCTTTGTGGTGACTCAATCCTTTGTTGCAGGGGAATATGAATCTGCCGTTAATAAAAATGTTGTTTCGAATATTTGGGAAAGTTCTCCAGGGACTATCAGTATAAAGGTAACTGAGGAAATAGAAGAGGAGAATGATGGAAGAGGAAGTAAAGGATCTGATCAAAAACCTTTCCACAAGGTTGAGATGGGGCAACAGCCAAACACCAAGGTTTCTGGAATGCAAAGTATGAGACTGTGTGGAGTTAATGTCAATCATAGCTCAAAGGAGGAAGTGGGAAAAAGGGTTGAAGTTTTATTTAGCTCAGTGGTTGAGCATAGCCTTCTAATTGATGGGGTCCGTACTTTAATTGATTCTGGCCCGGATGGGAGAGGTAGCAAGGGTTCTGGACTTGGCTTTGCTAATCAGTTAACGCCATCACTGGGGTTTCAGCCTATAGGTGAAAGGAAAGAAGAAAAATTCTCAGATTTGGGACTTTGGCGGTTAGAGAATCTGAAATCGCATGACAGCACTGTTGTGCACAACTGCTGTCAGCTGTTGAAGTTTTATGAAACAAATCCTGCTATTACAAGTAATTCTGTCATTGATACTAGCTGTCGTACAGAAAAGTGGATGAAAATTGGAGAAGTTTGCATGAGGCTGTTTGCAGACCTTGAGTTGAGCTACCAAACTTGCATCCAGCACACTGATAGTTTCAGAAGTGAGAACCTCGGAGGAGCCTCAAGAAAGCAAGGAAAAGTTTGTGGCTATTGAAGGCTTGAAGGTTAATGAAGAGAATGAAACTTCACCAGATAGATCCTATGCTGCAGAAACATATGTCAATTGGAAAGATCAAGTGCTGAAGCTCCCCGCTCAGAAATCAGCGAGATACTGGGAAGGTAGAGGCACCACGATGAAGATGAAGTGGAAGATCAAGGCTGTCTCCCATCACCCACCTTGAGGACAAGGTGGTTGTCGAGGGGGGAGATATGATAGGGCCCTGGGCTGTAGAGAATAATAATAGTAGTAATAGATTGATATTAAATAAGTGTGGTATTGTGTAAAATTGTAAATAAGGATTCTGGGCCATGTCATAGAATATGGGCTGGCCCGTTAGGATATAATTACTATAAGAGTGGGAAGGAAGGAAGAAGGAAGTTAGGCAGAAATTGGAATTAGGCTTGCGACTTGGGAGAGGGGACTGCTCGAAGTGTCTCGTTCTGATTTCTTCTCTTTCTTTCTGTTCTTTCCTGTTCAGTTGTAATCGACCAGACTTTCATCTTCAATAAATCGTAAATTTCTGCTGCTTTTGTTGAGGTATCTAACATCCTCAAGGTGGAAGTCAGGAAATTGCCTCTGAAACTGTTGCAATTCCTCCCAAGAATCCTCAAACTCTGCCATATTCTTTCAGTGCACCAATACTTCAGTTTTGCCCACTGAGTGAATTCTGCTGTCCTTGACCTCTTCTGGCCAGACCTGTAATTCCCATTCTTCCGAGAGGCACTTGGGTAAAGGCTGCGTCTGTACCGCAGTAGACACTGTTTTCTTTAATAGTGATACATGGAACACCGGATGCACTCTATAATGTTCAGGCAATTTCAGTTTATAGGCCACAAGATTTATTTTCTCAATGACTTCAAAAGGCCCATAAAATCTAGGGCTCAACTTCTAATTACTTCTTCTGGCTGGAGTCTTTAACTTGTAGGGCTGAATCTTCAGATATACCCTTTCCCCTACAGTTAGCTGAACCTCCCTTCTCTTCTTATCAGCTTGTTGCTTCATTCGTTTTGTGCAATAGCCAAATTGCTTTTCAGATCCTCTATCATTTCAGTCCTCTCCGCTGTCACTGTCCACCTCCTCCACAGCTGTTAAGACCACATCTCCTCGGATTAACACAGGTGGATCCTGTCCATAGAGTGCTTTGTAGGGGCTGTTTTTAGTAGATACATGGTAGTTGGTGTTGTACCAAAACTCAGCCCAAGGCAGCCACTTGGGCCACTGCTTTGGTTTCATCCCAGTCATGCATCTGAGGTAAGTTTCCACACATTTGTTAACTACCTCAGCCTGCCCATCTGTCTGGGGATGGTAAGCAGTGCTATACTTGAGTTTGGTTCCAGCTAACCTGAATAATTCAGTCCAAAATGAGCTTAGGAAAACACCATCTCTGTCTGACACTATGGTTTTTGGAAAACCATGCTATCTGACCCCACTTCTTGTAAGAATATCTCAGCCACACCTTTAGCATTGTATGGATGTGATAATGCTATGAAATGAGCATATTTTGTCAACCTGTCCACCACCACTAAAATAGTGTCTTCCCCCATTGCTTTTGGCAGTCCTCCTATAAAGTCCATACTCAAGTCAGTCCAAATGTGATTAGGAATGGGCAGGGGTTGTAGCAACCCTGCTGGATTTAATGTTTGATGCTTGTTCCTCTGGCAAACTTCACAATTTTGAACATAACTCTGTATGTCCTTCCTCATCCCTTCCCAATAGAATAGATTGGAGATTCTTTTCATAGTTTTGAAACTTCCTGCATGTCCCCCCACTGCTGACTCATGAAATTCTTTTAAAATAGAATAATCAATCTGTTCTTGTAAGAACAGATTTTCTTATCTGTTCTTGTAATAGGGAGTTTAGGGGTTACTCTATTACAAGAATTCAGATAGAAAGTAGGAACAAAGATGAACAGTGAATAGGGAGTTTTTTGATCAACAGAAAAGAGAGAGAAAATATCCTGACAGTTATAGAGATGTCATCTCTCCAGTCCCAGCCAACTACCAAATAACAGCCTTCTATAATGATTTCTGGGAATAAACATTCTATAAGAATTTCTGGGAATAACCAATCTGTTCTTGTAATAGAGTAACCCCTTCTGTACTTTGAAATCTTGCACTACTTCCGGTTGTCCCCAAAGTGTTTTAATGATTTCTTTATACTTATCATCCTCCAAAAGCTCATTTTCCAAACAGAAAAGAGAGAAAATATCCTGACAGTTATAGAGTTGCCATCTCTCCAGTCCCAGTCAACTCCCAAATAACAGCCCGCCTTATTCCTCCTGTAGCTATCTATTTATAGAAGTCCACCCGACCCCTATTTACAATTCTCAGCTACTTATTATTCCCGTTCCTTGTGGAATACACTGTCATAAAAGCTAATACTATTATTATTAGTAGTAAGAGGCTGACTTCCCGTGGCTCTAACACACATCCCCTACAACTTTACTCTAAATTTCTGCGAGAAAACTACCGGAGTGATCGAGTGAGTACTTGTGAACAGGGGAGGGAGTATTTACAGCACTTCTGTGTTAGAAAATTCATCGAATTCAGCCACAAGTTTAGGAACTTGATACTTTGCATCTGCCTATATATGACAACATGGCAATTTAGCTAAAAGGTTATATTAAATGAGTTCTATATATGATTTGTCTTGAATAATGCATCTACTTTTGGTGCTGTTGGAACCTGGGAGGTGAACAGCATGATACTTAGTACATATGAAGAACTGCAAGGTTCATTCTTATTTGATTGAAAGAAACAGAATTGTAATTTTAACCTTTACAAAGTGTTTTAATGATTTCTTTATACTTATCATCCTCCAAAAGCTCATTTTCCAAACAGAAAAGAGAGAAAATATCCTGACAGTTATAGAGTTGCCATCTCTCCAGTCCCAGTCAACTCCCAAATAACAGCCCGCCTTATTCCTCCTGTAGCTATCTATTTATAGAAGTCCACCCGACCCCTATTTACAATTCTCAGCTACTTATTATTCCCGTTCCTTGTGGAATACACTGTCATAATAGCTAATACTATTATTATTAGTAGTAAGAGGCTGACTTCCCGTGGCTCTAACACACATCCCCTACAACTTTACTCTAAATTTCTGCGAGAAAACTACCGGAGTGATCGAGTGAGTACTTGTGAACAGGGGAGGGAGTATTTACAGCACTTCTGTGTTAGAAAATTCATCGAATTCAGCCACAAGTTTAGGAACTTGGTACTTTGCATCTGCCTATATATGACAACATGGCAATTTAGCTAAAAGGTTATATTAAATGAGTTCTATATATGATTTGTCTTGAATAATGCATCTACTTTTGGTGCTGTTGGAACCTGGGAGGTGAACAGCATGATACTTAGTACATATGAAGAACTGCAAGGTTCATTCTTATTTGATTGAAAGAAACAGAATTGTAATTTTAACCTTTACAAAGTGTTTTAATGATTTCTTTATACTTATCATCCTCCAAAAGCTCATTTTCCAAACAGAAAAGAGAGAAAATATCCTGACAGTTATAGAGTTGCCATCTCTCCAGTCCCAGTCAACTCCCAAATAACAGCCCGCCTTATTCCTCCTGTAGCTATCTATTTATAGAAGTCCACCCGACCCCTATTTACAATTCTCAGCTACTTATTATTCCCGTTCCTTGTGGAATACACTGTCATAATAGCTAATACTATTATTATTAGTAGTAAGAGGCTGACTTCCCGTGGCTCTAACACACATCCCCTACAACTTTACTCTAAATTTCTGCGAGAAAACTACCGGAGTGATCGAGTGAGTACTTGTGAACAGGGGAGGGAGTATTTACAGCACTTCTGTGTTAGAAAATTCATCGAATTCAGCCACAAGTTTAGGAACTTGGTACTTTGCATCTGCCTATATATGACAACATGGCAATTTAGCTAAAAGGTTATATTAAATGAGTTCTATATATGATTTGTCTTGAATAATGCATCTACTTTTGGTGCTGTTGGAACCTGGGAGGTGAACAGCATGATACTTAGTACATATGAAGAACTGCAAGGTTCATTCTTATTTGATTGAAAGAAACAGAATTGTAATTTTAACCTTTACAAAATAAATCTCTGAGCAGGGGCAGGTAAAGAAGAAGGATTCCTCAGGAGGGAAGTATGTATCAGTGAATATTGGACCTATTCTAGTTCTTAGTAGTGAACAGGTTCTCTCTCCCTCTCATGTGTATGTAGGCGTGTGTGTATATATCGAAAGACAACTTGACCTAAAATGTCAATTGGCGAGAAGTTGGAAAAAGTATTTCTTTTTATAAGAAAAAACTAAGGCCTTGTTTGGATTCCAGTCCATGAGTTTAAGCTGTGGCTTGCACCTGTGTATTAGGGAATTCCCGACTTTTCTCGATTCCTGAAATTAGTGGCAATCACATTCCTCCCAATACCCACTTGTTCTGCCTAATCTCCTAAACGTTAGGAAACTAATTAATGTTTTAATTACTTTTCCTACGTATGTTTAGGTTTATGGGTTTACCTTTGTAAGAGAAATATATGGCACCTACAATTGAATTGTTGAGTTTGAACCACCCCCACTTCCCACAATCCCTTTTTGTTCCGAATCTCCCTTCTATTTTCTTTCATTTGTTCTTACCTTAGCATTTTCTTCAGGTTTCCGTCTGAAATTCTAAAAATAATTGGGAAAGAAAACACAAAGGAAAACATAGGATAAAAAAATATAAGCAAATATAACGTGGTGGAAAATAAAAGATATGCTACAACTCAATGAGTCTATTTTAAAACTTTGTCAAACTTTTTTATTTTTTTAGTTACTTCTGTTGTGTAGTGACTATGAAATCTAAATGTATTTAACAAAATAAATCATACGAAGTATTTCGTTTTGTTTTTGAATATTCCAGGTAACTTAAACATGGAAAATAATTTGCATGAGCTTTTTGTTTCTGTTACCCAGCATTGTCTGTAATCCAAAGATTCCACGATGATTTGATTCGAAGTGGAAATCACCACAAACTAATGAAATTGTAGCGAAAGTAGTGTTATGAGAATCAAACAGCATTTTGATAATGTGATTCAGCTGTGTGTTCTTTTTCCAGGTTCAAGCTGTATATAACGCGATGAGAAGAGACAACCGGATGAAATACTTTCTGTAACTTATTGCCATTCGCTGTAACCTATAGAGAGCTCTCTTGCTCAACACCTGCAGAGGAACATGTTACACCAGTCTCCTTTTTTACCTAGGTTTTGTTCCTGTGTAGCTCTAGCATTTGGTTTCGAAAAAAATGTTTTAACCCACACCACAGTTTCATCCATCTGCCACTAGTCCACTACCCTGGGTAGTAACGTCTGAGAGCAACTGTAATTCAGTAAGAGCAAGTAGGGATGGATTCAGGCCTGGTCGGGCCCGGGCCGGGCCTAGGCCCAGTCGGGCCGCCGGTTCGTATCACATGGGCCCGGGACTGGCCCGAGGGTTGGACAGGTCCGGTTCGGGCCGGGCCACGCGCCCGGGTCACGGCCGATTAATTTTTTTTATTTTATTTATATTTTATACTTTATAGTTTTATACAAGTATTAAAAAACAAACTCCAAGTGCATTTATTTGAAATGAAATAGGAACTACATTTGAAAATTAAATAGGAACTATAATTGTTTTTAATCGGAATCTCCGGCATAGGTAGAGCCACCCTCGGTTGTAGATTCATCCATAAAGTGTTGGGATGGGGTGATGTCAATTTCTTGAGCTCTACGGGCTGCTTTCAACCAATCGTGGTAGCATATAAGCATCTCAAGAGATTCAGTGCTCAACCTCGTTCCGGTTTGTGTTAGGACATTGCCGGCCGAATTAAATTCTTGTTCCACGGCAATCGTTGAAACCGGCATTGATAGCACTTGCTTAGCCATCTTTGCTAAAACCGGGAACATTCTTTCTTTTCCCTTCCACCAGTTTAGTACGTCAAAATCATCATCTTCTTCAAAATCAACATCATAAGTTAAATACAAAGAAATCTCATTAATTGTGCTTTGTTGTGTAGCGGGAGTTGATTTCGTTTTTTTTAATAAGATTGGCAAACGTAGATTTGAAAATTGATTTTCCTTTAGATGATGTTTGTGTCGGGGGAGGGGTGCATTGCCATATTGTGCATGAAACTCATTGAATAATGCATACAATATATCACTAACCTCGTTGTATTCTTTTTTCGGATCAATTGGGTTGTCCTCATACATTGGCAGTGGATCAAAAAAAGTAGCATAATAATAATTCAAACATTCTTTTAAAGAACCAAGTCTAAAACGAGGATCGAGAACAAATGCAATACCATAAATATGCAGAATATGTGAATAATATTTTAAAAACTTTTCTTCATAAAACCAGCAAAATGACTCACATAATCAGCATTCTCAAAATTTGAAAAAGCACCGGCGAGATTAACAGCTTCACGAATAAATTGGTTTGAGGTAGGTTTATAAACATGACTAAAAGTTTCAGTTGCATTATTAAAATATATCAAAGCATTACAAATTTTTTCACAAGTGTCGATCTCAGCCGAGTTTATAATATAGTTATTATATTGTTTCATAAAAGCAGGAAAATGTTGTTTATATCTAAGAAGAACTCCAATTAACTTATAGGTACTATTCCAAAGAATAGACAAATCTTTAGGAAAAGCCACATATCTCTCACCTCTTTCTATCAAATAATCATACCATTTTTTCCTAAGTTGTCCATTACCCCAAAGGCCCAAATACGTCTAATCCCCCCTTGACTACTTCCAACGATGCTCCCAACGCTTTTAGACCATCTTGCACACATAAATTTAGAACATGACATGCACATCGTTGATGAAAAAATCTACCCATCAAAGAAGTAGAAGTGTAGAACCACACAATTCACGCAATCTAGGAATAGCAGTAGTATTATTAGTCTCATTATCAAAACCAATAGTAAACACCTTATCAATTAAATTATACTCAATTAAAATACGTTCAATCAAAATATAAATATGTTCAGCGGTGTGACGATCATTAAATTCACGGAAAACAAGAACACGTTTATGCATATGTCAATCATTATCAATATAATGTACAGTCAGACCCAAATAATGTAAATTATGATAAGTATTTTCCCATATGTCAGAACATACAGTAACACGTCCATCAAAATTTGCAAAATAATTTTGTAACCTTATCTTTTCCGCACCATAAAGCCTTGAAATTTCTTTCTTAACCGTTTTGCGACTATAACCTCTATATTGCGGATTTAAACAAGTTTGTGCATAATCACGAAAAGCAAGACTTTCAGAAAACAAATACGGCAAATTTTCTTCAACAAATAAGTTAGTCATACCTGTCAAATTTTGTGCATCATTGTATGAGAAATTACCAAAAGCTTGTTGGTTATTTGCAAACCTCGATATTTGCGTTTGCTTCCCCGTTCCGCCGCCTAATTTTGCATACTCCACCGGGTGTTTGGACTTAAGGTGTCTTGTGGCGGATCCGTATCCGCCGGAAATCCCCAAGCTATAGTTTTTCTTGCACCAATTGCAAGTTGCGGTCCAATTCCCGGTGTTCGGGTCCTTCCACTTAGAAAAATTATTAGCCATTAATTCAGATTTACTTTTTTTTGTACCTGTTTGGGATGAGGCTGCTTGGTCGGCATCATGGCTGCCGCCACCCTCCTCCTCCTCCTCCTCCTCGTCGTGGCTCTCCGGAATTGCTTCCTCCACATCGTCGTCCTCGTCCTCGAGCTCTTCTTCGTCAATGGTCCTCGGTTGGTCTTGAAAAAAGCGGGAATTATGTCGGTGCAATTCTTGTTCTAGTTGTTCGTCGGTCATCGCATTCTCATCCCTCCTTGCGTAACCCGTATCAAAATCATCTCGACTTTGAGATGAAAAGCCGATATGTGATTTACCTTTGCGGGATCTCTTCCTCGCAAGCTCTTTCGTTCGGTTGCGCTCGAGGTTACCCATATCAACCGAATATCTAGGACGATCCAACTAAAAAATGTAAAAAACTAATTAACTATTTATGTAACTATTAAATCGAGTTATAGCAAATTAACTAGTGAATTAACTAGTTTTGTGTACAACATATTTTTTAAACTAGAGTCAAATGTAGCAATTAATAAAAAATTGTAAAAAAGTAATTAACTATTTATCTAACTATTAATTTGAGTTATAGCAAATTAAGTAGTGAATTAATTACTTTTGTGTACAACATATTTTTTTAAACTAGAGTCAAATGTAGCAATTAATAAAAAATTGTAAAAAACTAATTAACTATTTATGTAACTATTAAATCGAGTTATAGCAAGTTAACTAGTGAATTAACTAGTTTTGTGTACAACATATTTTTTAAACTAGAGTCAAATGTAGCAATTAATAAAAAATTGTAAAAAAGTAATTAACTATTTATCTAACTATTAATTTGAGTTATAGCAAATTAAGTAGTGAATTAACTACTTTTGTGTACAACATATTTTTTTAAACTAGAGTCAAATGTAGCAATTAATAAAAAATTGTAAAAAACTAATTAACTATTTATGTAACTATTAAATCGAGTTATAGCAAGTTAACTAGTGAATTAACTAGTTTTGTGTACAACATATTTTTTTAACTAGAGTCAAATGTAGAAATTAATAAAAAATTGTAAAAAAGTAATTAACTATTTATCTAACTATTAAACAAGAGTCAAATGTAGCAAATTAACTAGTAATTAAACAAGTGTAAATAATAGAATAATTTCGTACCTCTTTCGGACTTTCGGTCTTTCGGATGGGAGTAATAGAATGACTTCAAATTAATTAGATATAATTCCAACTATATTAATAGATATAATAAATATATAAGTAATATATAATTAGATAAAAAATATAAGTAATATAATACTATTTATATCTATTTATAGTTTATATAAGTAGATAATTAATATAAACTATAAATAATAAATATAATATATTGGAGAATGGAGAATAAGAGAATTAGAGAGTAGAGAGTTAAGAATAGGATTTAGGAAGAATTGGAGAAGAGATATGAAAAAATGTTTAAGATTAGGAGTATTTATAGGTTTTTTTACCCCACACCCCCCCCCCCCACCCAACCCCCCCCGGACCCCCCTGCACCCTACCCACCGGCTATATAGCCGTTTGGGTTGTCCCCAGCCCACCCCCAACGGCTAGTAGCCCAATTTAAAAAAAAAAAATTAAAATTCAGATCGGACCCGGGCCCGGGCCCGACCCGGCCGGACCGGGTCACATTTATCCAGCACCGTGCCCGCCCCACCCATTCCCACCGGTTCGGGTCCACACCCGGTCCCGGACCGCCCGACCGGGCCGGTCCCGAGCCCGCACAGTACCGGGCCGGGCCGGGTCACGGGCCGGGTGGCCCGAACCGAATCCACCCCTAAGAGCAAGAGTTAGTTCTGAATACTGTTAATTAGTGTACTGAAAAATATAAAAAAAAATAAATTGTTAAAAATAAAGATTTGTTTTTAGGATAAAATATTAACTCTATAGTTTAAAATCGCAAAAATATTATTTTTAAAATGAAGCACTTCAAATTCATAATATTAAGTTTAGTCTTGTTGCAAAATTTTGAACACATTGCTACTTTTTTTGAAATAACATTCTTTGATATTGTTTAAATTTAATGAAATTCATTATTTTGTAATCTTGGATTTATCATTGTACAATATGTAATTTTATAACACAAAGAAAACAAAAATCAATTGATTTTTTTACATTGGGGGAGAACATGTATTTTAACACTTTTCTGAAATAATCATATATATACACACACACACACACACACACACACACACACACACATACTCCCTCTGTCCCTTAAAACTTTGCCATCTTTTTTTTTGGGACGTCCCAAAAAATTTCGTCACTTTCCCTTTTAATCAATTATTTTGTGGTATCTGTTATTTTTCTCTCCTCTGTACAAACCTCAACCATACAATTTTTACTTTATTATTCTTCGTACCGGTCAACTTTGGCAAAGTTTTAAGGGACGGATGTAGTATATTGTAAGGTTTTGAAACAAGCTTTTATACTAACAATATTAAATTGTAATTTGTAATATAAAATAATAAAAAATCGACAGAGTAACGGTACGCTAGAAAACTAGAATACAGTCTCTTTCCAAAAGTTAGAATGTGATATTTAAATTGTACATGGAAATATTTGGAAAACAAGTAAAACTAACGAACTCACTAGTGTATTGACACATTAAAACTAATTGGAGAGATGATATCTAATTGTATTAGCTAGGGGAGAGCAAACTCGACCCTACCCGATTGACCCGATCGGATATATCCGATTTTTTTGTTGGGGTTGGAAAACCCGACCACAAATACCCAAACCCGATCCGATTCTTGCAACCCGAGACTTAAGCGGGTAGCGGGTAGGGTTACCAATTATGCTACCCGACCCGTCCGAAAAACCGAATTAACGTAGTATATATACTACTTTGAATTATTATGCATGTTCAAATATCTCAATTATTGTATGCCAATTACCATATTATGTATGTTCAAATATTCCAATTGCCGTATTTGTACAATCATAATTTTGAATGTTGTATTGTTATGACTTTGAATGATATTTTGACCAATTATCATTTTTTATCACAATATCAAATATGTCAATCACCGTATATTATTATTTTACATGTTCTAATATGTCGATTATCGTATTTATACAACTATTACTTTGAATGTTATACTAGTATAAATTTGAATGATATTTTTACCAATTACCATTTTATTTATCACAATTTCAACAATAATAAATTAAAATCCGAATGAACCCGAAAACCGTATCAACCCGACCGCAACCCGAATGTCTTCAACCCGAAAAACCCGATAAATTATTTGATAGAGTAGAGTTTGATCCGATATCCGAACGAGTTTACAATTTTTGAACCCGACCCACCCGAACCCGACCCATGCTCTGCCCTAGTACTAGCTTTTGTCCTTTATGTACTAGAATGGTTGAATACTTGAATTTGTCCTGCGTGTAATCCTGAAGATGATAGATGGAACTTGTGACGTCAGTCTTGTGACAACTGTTACTATTCACTAAGGTGAAAAACTTGAGTGTTGTGATATCTTAATACTGAAATGTCCAAGTCCACGATCCCCGCTTGAGGTCTTGAGCATGGGCTAAGTGTACGTCAAGCTTGGGTATTAACGTCATAGTCAGGAGCGGCCGGCGGGGAACCTTGACTCGTAGTGTGATTGTCCTTGTTGATCTTGCGCTCATAACACGAGAGTTGGTTTGGAGCTTGGTAGTAATGGTGCACCTTTTGACTTCTCTCGGGTATCTGAGAACGAGTTTCGAGCTTGGCCTCGATGGGCTCGACCTCGACCAGAGTTGCCTTGGTAGATTCCGGAGCTTTTGTATCTTAAATGTTGATACCTCTATGATATATGACAATATACCCGATCATTATAGCAATACAATTTGGGAAGTGAAAAATCATACACCATTCGAGGGTTTGTTACTTTAACTTAAAAAAAGTAAATAAATTCAAAATAATATCTCAAACTCTATTTTACTCTTATAAAGGCTAAATGTAATTTGTGTACGTGAGTTTTGGGGTTGGGCTAAAGTTTTTCTACTCCAAAGTCCAAAGGTAGTACAATGATTATTGACCGTCAATATATTACGTGGCCTAAAACTGTAGCAGTAAAACATGATGATTTTTTCAAATTCAACGCTGAAGAAGTAAAAACTGTTTCCGTCGTAGCGCGTGCTCAAACCCTACCGGGGATCAAGCATGTGCTTCTCAAACGCAATATGATTGGTCCATAATGAGGAGTCTGCGTGGCGCCAATCCATTTCTACGCATAAACCACTTGCAGCTTCCGCGCGTGAGTTCCCACTCGCCAATAGGGGATCTCATCCTGGCTTAAGGTCTCAACTCTCACACACTCAAGCTGAATAGAGAGATAGAGGGGGAGGGATCTGAGAAAAACGGGAGAGGATGAAGCTGCTGGCGGCGGCGTTGGTGGTTGCTGCTGCTGCGGCGGCGCTACTCACCGGAGAAGCAGTGTGGCTGGATTTGCCGAGAGAGGGGACCAAGTGTGTGTCTGAGGATATCCGAAGTAATGTCGTGGTTATAGCCGACTACTACGTAATACACGAAGAGGAGCACGTTGCCGATAACGTCGCCGTTCCCACCATCTCCGCTAAGGTAACTCTTAATTGCCGGAGCTCCGATGTTGGGCTTGACTTGCTCGGTCAATTATTTTCTAATGCTATGGATTATGGGTGCTGAATTCTGTAATTGTTCTGTGCTGGAACAATAAAGTGCATAATTCTTTCAGCAATCGAAGACTCTAATTACACTTAAAAAGTTAACTACATCACTTTTGTGCAGTAAGACGAAGCACCTTTTTGTAGTCTATTATTGCATATTCTGTTCTTGGACCCTTGGTAATTGGAAATTGGCTTTTTGCGCAATCATCTAGCTATTTTGAGATTAAGTTAGTTTCACCTTTGATTCTTTTTAGGAGTTCAATCTGAGACATCTAACGAGATCTCAAAAACATCGGTTATGGTGGTTGAAGTCAAGTTCATAGACGGGAGCAAAAGTTTGCTGGAGTGGGTGCCTAAAAATCGGATAAATTTTTACAATAAATTTCTAAAAATACTGGCTTTTGTGAAAGTGGGTGCAAAAGTGATTATTTAATTGTCAAAACATTTTTTCCATTTTTATATGAAACAGTCTTTTTATTAGAGTACTTTTCTTCTTTTGCAAAGTTCTTAATCCTTGAAACAAGTCATCCCAACGCACCTCGGGGACTTGCAAAATGATAATAGTTTTCCTGAAGCATTTTCTTTTTTCAGGAAAACATTTTCTAAGATAATTTATTTTCTTGGAAACAAGGAAAGCCTGAAATTTATCAATGTTCTTCTCTGTCAGGTGACATCACCATATGGAAACAATCTCCACCATCAAGAGAATTCAACTCATGGCCAATTTGCATTCACAACATCTGAGGCTGGTGACCACCTGGCTTGCTTCTGGGTTGCCACAGGCGCTACTAGTAAGGGTGTCGTTGTGGGTCTTGATTGGAAAGTAGGAATTGCTGCCAAGGATTGGGATTCAGTTGCCAAGAAAGAAAAAACTGATGTAAAGTTCACATCTTCTTCCCCTTAGCTTGTAGGGCTAAGAGTCATTTTTTCCTTTGTTTATTTATATCTAAGTTTTCCTTTGCAGGGCCTTGAACTTGAGTTGATGAAGCTTCAAAGTCTTGTGGAGGCTATCCATGATAATTTAGGTTATCTGAAGATTAGGTAAGTTCCTTGTGTAAATATTATAAATTAAGGCGTTGTTGTTTTGATTGATCACGTTGGTCAAGCCATCCAGCTAGGGTGGAAAAAGGTCTCTAACCTGCTTTGTTGTGTTTAACCTCTGTTAAAGGCTTGTTTTTTTACCTAAGCCTAGCTTGTTAAAGCATGTTAACAAAAATAAAAGTTATACAAAAGAAATTGAATCAATTCCAAAAAATTAAATAAAAACTGACAAATCATTTTAACGTACTATAAAGCTATCACAAAAACCATTAAATAACTTTGATAAATGATACGGAGTACTCCGTAATACACTAGTTATATTACCTAACACACATAGTATATAATATTTATATACGTTTAACTAAATAGTATACACACAAATATACTCATATGTAGGCTGACTAATTGGTCACTGACTCACTCCTATATGAAAGGTCTCGGGTTCAAAATCCATGGAGGGAGTTTCAACCCTGTTTACCCCCACATTCCCCCAGCGGCCCAGCCCCTAAGTACCTAACCCCCCGGGTAAAAAAAGGCCGACTTGCTTAGTTCAGCAAGCTTTAGAGTTGAGCTAAGCCAAACCTTATTAGATAAACGAGTTTTTATAGTCCAAACATAGCATATTTATTAAACAGGTCAGGCCTAATCTTACCTATGTCTAATAAGAAACTATACACCAACGTACGTATAAAGCACTCAAAATAAATTAATAACCCAAAGTCCCAAATTGTAATATATCAGATCTTAAGATTTGATAAATATCCCTATTTTAGTCATATATCAGTCATGTTTTCTATTCTTATAGCATGGGTTTGTACACAAAAAGTAAAAATGTGAATTGGTAACGTGTTCTTGACAAAGTCGTCTTAAACCGTTGTCCTATTTGTAACACATTTTAGAGGGTGAATTACCACAATTAATTATCTAAGTGAACTAAACAGTGTTTATGATTGCTTGCAAAAAAACAATTTTCGGTTTTTTGAGTAAATTTTTTACAAATGGTGTTTTAAACACATGTTTCTCTTTAGCTATTTAAAGCTAAAACCTCTAAACAACACATAGTCATAATTGTTTTGCATAATGCGGACTCTTTTAGCACACTTAATTTATATTTTAAAACTCATTCTGAAGAAGTGTCATTTTTTAAAATGCAAGCACTTTCTCAGTAAGCTTTAAAGTAAACTTTATACAAGCATAAACGAACACAAAAACTAACTTTGAATGCAGACAGATTTTGAGCAGGGCAGGTTTTTGTAATTTACCACAAATTTCGTGGTAAATTTGAATGTTCTTTTAATAGTTAAATTTTTGAGTTGTAAATAACTAAATATTTTTGTGGTGCAGGGAAGCTGAGATGAGGGAGGTGAGCGAGAGAACCAATGGGAGAGTGGCATGGTTTAGCATATTTTCTCTTAGCATCTGCCTATTCGTTTCTCTTGTGCAAGTTTGGTATTTAAAGCGTTTCTTCCGGAATAAAAAACTCATTTAGTTTCAAGGATATTATAGCATCAACGATAGGTTTTTAAACTTTTTAAGCATCCCACTATCTGTACCATTAGATCTTCTAGATTATTGTTGTAATATTAATTGTGTAATACTACGTACAGAGTAATATACATGTTTTTTAGTTTTCTCTAATGTTAGCAGACCCCAACCGGTTTGGGCGGGTTGACCTGGAAACGGGAGACTGGCTAGGCATTCCAGATCGGATCAAGGCTAGGCAAATCAGCTAAAACCTACCCAAACTTGTTGACCACTTCGAATTGCCCGTTGACCCGACAACCTGCTACTAGGGGTGGACCCGGGCCGGACCGGTTCCGGGCGGGCTTTTTTTCGGAATGTTGGGCCCTTAATCGGCCCAGGTTGATACCGGGTCCGGGCCGGGCCGGGCCGGGCCCGGTTCTATGTAATTTTTTTTGGCTTTCTAATTAACCCTCGACCCCCTCCCTCACCCCCACCCTCAAAACCCCCCAAAACACCCAGTCCTACACAAGGAAAAGAAAAAAAATTGAAAAAATAAAATAAAATGAATCAGGCCTGGCCCGAACCGCTCGGGCCGGTTCATGAAAATCATGATCCGTAACCGGCCCACCAGAGCCGCCCAAGCCGGGCTAAAGCCCGGAATCGGCCATCCGGGGCCGGGCTGGTTCGGGCCCGCACAATAGCGGGACGGTCTGGTTCTGGGTCGGTTTGGCCCAGTTGGGTCCATGCCTACCCGCTACCTGAAAACCCGAGTCCCATGACCTAAAAAAACTAGTCGAAGGGTGTCATCCCAACCTTGTTAGTTTACAAGCATATAGGTTATGTTTTTTTGGCAAAGTTTCATAACCTATTATAGTACTACCTCCGTCCCTTAAAATTTTGCCAAAGTTGATTGGCATGGAGAATAATAAAGTAAAAACTGTGTGGTTGAGGTTTGTGCATAGTAGAGAAATAACATAAACCACAAAATAATTGATTAAAAGGGAAAGTGTCAAAGTTTTTTGGGACGTCCCAAAAAAGAAAAGTGACAAAGTTTTAAGGAACTAGGATGAGATTCAAACTTGTGATCTCCTCCTTTGGAGTATCATGAGATTCGAACAATGGTGCCATAGATAACATTACTGTTTATGATTTTTTTCAAAAATTTGGGTGTAATTTACTCATTTTAAGGATGTATACATACATATTATTTTAAAAAATCAGGCCATTAAACTCAAGCCTAACAAAATGGTACAACTAAAGTGAAGTATCTAGTTGTCCCCTACTATTTATAATGCTTTAGAAATTATCGTGTTTTTGTTTGTTAATTATTTAATACTTTCTTAGATACTAATGTTTATTTAGCCATATTTTATACTAGTATAATCTAAACGTGCATTTAGTCGTACTTTACATGGTCGTATTGTATATATTATTGTATTGTTCACAAGTCGTGTAATACTAACAAATGATTGTCACTACTCACTAGGCATGGACCCGATACTGGTCCGGTCCCGGTTCCAGTCCCGTTTCTGAGAAACGGAGGCGTAGAACTCGCCCAAATAACATGGGTACCAGTCCGATCTCGGGTCCGGTCACGGATCGGTTCAGGCATTTTTTTTTAATTTAATACGGAGTATATTAGTAATATAAATGAAAAATGTTACACATTAAAAATGAAAGGTAGATTAATTTGAAACATTACATTAACCTGGTCATTTGCAAATTACAATTGAGAATAGTTACATATATTTCCTATTCATCGTCACTCCCGCTTTTGGCGTCAATTGTCGTTTCTTCATGAAGTGACGGGGTGATGCTATGCAACTTCTTGAGTTCTATGGCGGGCCTTCAACTAATCGGTTAAGCAAATGAACGTCTCAAAAGGTTGCGCACTCAACCTCATTCTATAATCGTTTAGGACGTTGACGGATTCACAAAACTCTTATAACATGACAACGGTTGGAATCAACATTGACAACATTTCTTTCACCATTTTTTTGTAAAATGGGGAACATTCTTTGTTTGTCCTTCCACCATCGGAGAATGTCAAACTTTTCTCTATCTTCATACTTAAGCTCATTAATAAAGCTTTGTGCAGCGGCAAGAGTAGATTTACCTTTTTCAAAAGATTAGATATTGAAAATTTAATAAGACCTTTTCCTTTAGATGAAGAAGTAGTTGGTTCCAGCGTAGGGGGGTACACACGTTAGTATATTGTGAATGAAACTCATTAAATATATCATGACAAAAATTACTAAACACATTGAATTGCGCTTGATGTTCTATAACAGTGTCACCGTACATAGGCAACTTATCGTAGAAACAAGCATAATAGTACTCTAAAAATGTTTTATAAGTAGCAAGTTTGAAACGAGGATAAAAAACGAAAGCAATAGCATATATAGGTGGAATGTAAGCATAATATTTTATAAACTTTCTTTCATGAAATCACAAAAGTAATGAACATAAGTGGCTTGGAAAAATTCTTGGAAAGCAGTTACGAGATTAACAACTTCTACAAAAAGTAGATTAGTAGTAAGTGTATAAACACGAGAAAAAGGATTGAGTAGTGTTATGAAAAGGGAGAAGGCTCAAATATGACACTAAGATATTTAATGAATCTCATATAGGACACTTAGGTTTTGACTAGACCAAATAAACACTAAACTGAACTTTTTCTTTTATTATCAGCCAACCATTAACCTCCCGTTAAACGTCTGTCTCTTTTCGTTTGATCCAAGCATCTTCCCCTTCAACTAAATCCTTGAACTTGCTATGTTTTTAGTCGGAATTTACTTCTAATTTCATTTTCGACCTTGAATCTGAGCATGGAAGGATGATTTGGGACCAGAAATGCAAGAATCGGAGTTTTTCATCGCACTCGCACTGTTCACGTTGACTGTGATTGGGGTTTGTTTCTTTGATTTTTGTGGAGTTTTTCTGGTGTTTGAGACTTCTTTGGGACTCGTCGGGCCAGGACGAAGGTCGCTGACTGATTCGTTGAAGGTGGGGGTGGTTTTTGGTCGTTGCCGGTCACTTGCAATTTCCGACTCGCTATGCCTACTGCCGAAGAAGACGGTTAGCTTTTCCTTTGCTCTGGTGATGTGCTTGTAATTGAAGGTAGCCCTGTAACCTATTAGATGTGGGGACGGATCTGATGGTGAAAAAAACATTGTGGTTGAATTGCTTAGGGGTAGTTGCACAACACGAAAAGAAGGTCAAAGCTGACGGTGGTTTCCGCGACATTCATATTTGGATTTTATCTAGAGTTGTTGGGGTGGAGCTGAAGGATTGGAATTGGATAAGAGCAGGGAGAGCAGGGAGAACAATCGTGGTGGGGGAGAAGGGAGGAAGATGCAGCTGCACTTCTCTCCTAGCATGAGAAGTATAACGATATCGAGCAACAACAATGGAGGGTTGGATGATTTGATGAAGCACTATTCCAGATCTCTTTTTTCTCTGTGTTGATATTTTTATTCATATCTGGCTACTTTGTACCCGTATATGATTTTTGTTATCTGGCTGCTTTGTGTTATGCTTGAGACGGGCATTTACCGGGAGGGTCAGTGGGTGGCCCATAATAAAAGAAAAAGTTCAGTGAAGTGTTTTTTTGGTCCAGTCAAAACCTAAGTGTCCTATATGAGATTCATTAAATACCTTAGTATCATATTTGAGCCTTCTCCCTTATGAAAATAAACTAAAACGTTGCAATTTTTTTTCTTGATATCTATCTCAACCGATTCTATAATATAGTTATGAGTTTCTTTCAAAAAAGCTGGGGAAATGGTCCTTAGATCCAAGAAGCACAGAAATTAATTTATAAATATTTCTCCAACAAATAAGTGATATTGTAAATATGCTCAAAATGAGTCATCAATGTCTAGTCATGATATTGTAAATATGCTCAAAATGAGTCATCAATGTCTAGTCATGCAGTACTCTCAATTCCATTGAATCTCTAAATATGACAAGACTATAATTTTTTATTCCAATTTGCTAATGATAATGACTAATCAAAATAACCAATAGAATTTGCTTCTCGCCTCCTATCAATTTGAGATACAATTAAATACTCCCTTATCCTTTATAATCTTGTCAAAATTGAGTGACACGTAAAATAATAAAATAAAAAACTGCGGAAGTGAGAATTGTGAGGAAAAGAAACAAGTCAAAAATATAGATCCTGTTTGGTAACACCGAAATCGGCTGAATCGGCTGATTCTGCTGAAATTTATGAAGTTTTGGCTAAAGTGACTGTATCGGCTGATTCTGCCGAAAAATTTATATTTAAAATATACTCCGTATTTTATTAGTAAAATAAAGAAGAAATTATGTGAAAAATTAACTAAAATGATCATTTACAGTAATTTCAAGATACAACTAAAAAGTAACTTCAATTTTTTTTTCTTATTATTACATAATTCGGGCTCATAATTTGCCAAATTATAAGGGTAGTGGAGTATTCTCAAACAAAAAGAGATTGAGGTTCAAAAGTAATTTTACTTAGAGACAAGTACAAAAGTCAATAATCATCAAAATTATCCACAAACAAAATTATCCAATGAGGAGAAGAGGAACACGAAATAAACGAAGCCCACAAAACAAAATTATCCACAAACAAAATTATCCAATGAGGAGAAGAGGAAAACGAAATAAACGAAGCGCAGGAAACCGAAACCGCCATTCCAAATCTTAGGAGTTAAGTTTTGAGATTCATATTTCACCACTCCGTTCAATACCCTTATCGATACGGTATAGAGACGGGGGAGAGTAGAAGATCCTTGGAATGGACGGACCGCCGGAGACTGATTTTTGCTCAATATGCCATGGCACCTTCCACATTCCTTGCCAAGCCAATTGCTCCCACTGGTTTTGCGGTACCCCTTCTCTCTTTTTCTCCATGTATGTTTCTTGATGCGTATGTAAATCCAGTTCTCTGTTTACCCAAAAGGGGATCAGATTTTAGCAGTAAGTTTTATACCGCCGCCCGAAGTTAATAGCAGGGCGGCCAGACACTTTGTGTTGGTGGTGTGAAATAATGGAACAAGATGCTCTCTAAGGAACCCCGCCAGATATATTCGCAATAAAGAGAGTTTAATGTAAAGTACAATATTGATCCTATAATAATTCTATTATACCTCTCAAGTTGTGCGTGAGAAATAACGCGCAGATTG